GTACATCCTCAGGTAGATCGAAGTCAGTTGCTTACATCTTCTTGATTAATTATGGCCTGAATTCGCAGGTACGTAAAAATCAGCAGCACACTTTTGGTACAACTGGTAACCTTTAAAATCGCCTCATGTTAACACCGTATATTAGTTGCGTTCGCGTAGCTGTTAATTGTTCATGTTTAACCAAAACTTACAAGTTTTTGCGTTCGCGTACGCAAAAAACTTGCAAAGTAGGGGAAATTGAGAGAGCAAAGTGACATTTTATTTTGAGGGGAAGCTGCTGGTTTCTGCTGGAAAAATTTTTGCCAACAGGAAACAGCTGATCAAAAACAGCTGGTTGGCATTTACGCAAATCACAAAATTGAATAAGATGGTTTGGAAGTTAAGAATTACAAAATGCGACTAATTAAACTTGTAAGAAATAAGTAGTTATTTTTTTAATCAATAAACTGTGTCAGTATTACACTTTGTGATGACTTTTCGGACGTTTTAAATTTTACACTCTTGAATGTAAACAAAAATTATATCAGCTGTTCGTCTAACTTGCAAGTTTCTGCAAATTTTCTGTTCGCGTACTATTTGGGATATTTTTCTCTTGTGAGAGAACAGATAACGTTTCGCCGGAATTTGGCAGTTGGTTGGTTTTTACTGGAGATTTTAAACGAATGCACCTATTAGTTGCGTTCGCGTAGCTATTAATTGTTCATGTTTAACCAAAACTTACAAGTTTTTGCGTTCGCGTATGCAAAAAACTTGCAAAGTAGGGGAAATTGAGAGAGCAAAGTGACATTCTGATTTCTGCTGGAAAAATTTTTGCCAACAGGAAAACAGCTGATCAAAAACAGCTGGTTGCCATTTACGCAAATCACAAAATTGAATTTGATGGTTTGGAAGTTAAAAATTACAAAATGCGACTAATTAAACTTGTAAGAAATAAGTAGTTATTTGTTTAATCAATAAACTGTGCCAGATAACACTTCGTGATGACTTTTCGTACGTTTTAAATTTTACACTTTTGAATGTAAACAAAAATTATATAAGCTGTTCGTCTAACTTGCAAGTTTCTGCAAATTTTCTGTTCGCGTACTGTTTTGGATATTTCTCTCTTGTGAGAGAACAGATGACATTCCGCAGGAATTTGGCAGTTGGTTGGTTTTTACTGGAGATTTTAAACGAACGCAACTAATAGCAATAGTTACCTTTTTTCTGTGTTGCACTTAATTTATATATGGATTAATAAACTTTGCCGTTGGTTTAATTTAATTTGCGTTTGGATTAAATTGATTTGCGTTTGGTTTAAATAAATGTGCGAATGCTATAATATTGCAGTAATTAAATGGAAGTATACAAATACATTATTTTTTAAGACAAACCCCATATTTACTCTAAAATTAACAAGCAAATAATGTAGATATGTATATGTTCATATGTCCATATACATATGTGTGCCGAAATCAAGTAAACCTTGCGTTCATTTTATTTAGTACTATTTGTCGACGATGATATTGACTGATAATATTCCGACAAGATTTTCCACGCTTCCGGCACCATGAACCCATCAGGCGGAGACTGGCCGGTTCTAGCTAATGTGCGCATTCTGGTTCCTGATATAAAATCAAAGTCATCTTTTCGGCTTGGATCAAAAAATGCCATACATGAATTCACTTTGTCATATGCGGCAACACGAAAAGGAAGGATCTCTATGGCATTCAAACCAGGTGCCAATTTTAAAACACGTTGCCCATGTGTGGCATCGAAGAGGTTTCCATCCGGATAAAGTGCTTTATTTGGATGTGGTATACCTGCTGGGTCCCGACCAACGATGTAAAAGTTCGCGCCAGCATTCATTCGCGCTTTAGCATGCCATTGCACTTCAGTTGGTCCAGCGTACATCATTGGTGACGGAAATATTGCTAAAACCGTGTCTTCTGCTTTTAGCACACCAGAGTCTAAAACTGCTTGGTGCTGCGCTATCCTTACGGGCAAAGGAACGTCATCATCTTTAGTCCAACCACCCAATGGATGAAGTAGCAAAACAGGTTTTTTAAAACCTCGTTCAGTTAGTTGTCGCTTTGTATCTTGCATTAGCAAAGCATGACCATTGTGAATCGGGTTTCTTAATTGAAATGCAAACACTGCATCTGCACCCATATCTTTAAAACTTTGTCTCAGTTCATTTGGTGTTAGTCTATACTTATCTAAACCATCATTCCAACGTATACGTTCTAAAACTTCCAGTTCTCCGCCAACTAAGTAATCTCCTCCTTGGGCAATTATTTTTATATATGGATGTTTTTCATGACTCGTTCCAAACTGTCGTGATACTCGCTCTTCTTTGCGTTGATAATAAAATTCTGGCTTCCGCATAATTGCTATCGGATTTCCTTTAAATGTGAGCGCAATGGATGACACACCATCTAGTTTATTTTTTAACTCAGTTGTCACAGATAATACAATTGGAATTGATTGATTTTGGCGTGTGGTATCATCGTCGGTTACGATTGAGTTGAAATGGACTGTTTGCAAAAAAGTGTCTTCCCTCATGAAACCTCTCAACGGGTATGCCCATCCTTCGGATAGTACTTGAACCCACTGTAAATCTACTTCGGTTAATGGAATCGAATTCAACGTTTTTGCTTCATGAAGAAAAGACTCTTTTGATTTTGAATTAACGAACAGTTCTGGGATTTCATTTGGATGTGTTTTATTTTTCGGTATAATTCCTTCGGCTTCAAGCAAATTTATTAAAGCTTGAGTAGATTCACCCACTGTATATCCATCAGTGTTAATGATAAGCTCCGGATTTTCTGGCCTTTGATACTCTTGTGTGATGCCAGTAAACCCTTTAATAACACCTTCACGCGCTTTTTTGTACAAACCTTTAACATCTCGAGACTCGCATATCGACAAAGGCGTATCCACGAAAACTTCGTAGAATCTTAGATCTGCATCTTTGTGAATTTTTCGTACTAATTCACGGTCTTCTGCAAACGGTGATACGAAGCTACATATTGTAACTACTCCACTATCAGCAAATAATTTCGCTACCTCCCCTACCCTTCGAATATTTTCTTCCCGGTCAGCTGGCGTGAAACCTAGATTTTTATTTAAACCTGTTCGTATGTTATCACCATCGAGTCCATATGCCGGAATGCCACGTACTACTAAGTGAGCTTCCAGCTCGAAAGCAATAGACGTTTTGCCTGCTCCACTCAGACCGGTGAGCCAAATGGTACATCCTCGAAATCCACGGCATATACCCAAATTTTTTCCTCTAATATCGCGTGTTATGTGGTGTTTCTGCTCACTGACATTTGTTGCGACTTGAAGGCACGTTTTTTGTCTTTTCTTGTTAGATTCTTCACTCATTGTGCAACAATGATTTGTAAGTTATAAGGCCGTATGAACTTTTTATTATTTACCACAGGTCGGTTTCAGTATTTCGTAGCTATGTAAATGAAGCGATCTAATTTATTCAAAACCGTCAATCTAAATTAAAGGCCTGCGTGTTTAATACTGCATTTATGATTAATACCAACCGGTATACGCTTTTATATACAAACCAAGGCAAACTAAACAGGTAATAGCAAGGCGCATGTATGGATGCGCCTTGGGTAATAGCAGTAGACCATGATTCAATAATACAAGGTTCGATAAATTGACAGTTGTCTCTCTCGCACCGCTCCCTTAGCGGTGGCACCGTGTTGCTTCTTTGCAAATTTACCTGGAAACAGTGTAGCTTTGGTGTGAAATAAAAGTATAAGCTTTTGTGCAATATGTTTATTTGTATATGCATATGAAGCATATTTAACTGATGAAAACATAAGCATTGGATGTTTATATCAATCTCATAGTAGTCTTATTTTAATTTTGAGTCATTTTGCAGTTTTTATACAGCTAAATAGCATATAAATTTCGTAATTCACGTAGATATATAAATATTACGTTTAACATTTCGTTTAAAATGCCAGATTTCCTGCAAATACTTAAGAATTTACAAAAGGAATTTCACTACTAATTGCCTACTTTGCGTACTTTTCTACTACCATTTTCGCAACAAGGGATTGCATTCTTGCCCTTTCTCTGTCCTTCGCAAATGCAACCTTTTGTAAGGGAGTGTCAAACCGCAGCTGTCAATAATTATCTAACCTTGTATTATTGAATCATGGCAGTAGACAACCCTGCCATGTATTTTGTTGCTGCTTGAGACGCCTAGAACGTCAACAGAAAGAAATGTAAACACTTTCGACCAATCAAATGCAAGCAAAAAGGATGCTAATGTAAATGTATGGAATGGGAATGTAGCAAAGTTTGACAGTTCAGCTTTTCACGAAGCAGAAAAAATCAAAACTGCAGCACTGGCGCTTCTACCTGTTTAATGTGCCTTGTCACAAACTATAAACCAGTGTGCGGAACCCCATTTTTTTAGGTGGTAAATAAGCCCTAAAAATTGTAGTAGATTCGAAAGCAATGTGGTAGATTTACATAAAAGTAGGTATTAAAATGCGAAATCTTTAAGTTTATCACGTATTTCATTAGTCTATAAAAGATACAGAACATACTTTAAAACATATACATATATTACTAATGTAAAAGAAAAACAAACACACAATTCATTATTACATGGGTATGCCAAAAACAATGGGCTTTCTCCGGAACTATCTTCCGCCGGTAATGGTTTTGGTAGGCTTTGTTTTCTCCTGAAAAGTATTTTTTATTAAAATATATTTCATTAATACTATACAAAGCTTAATAAATTTACCTTATCACAAATTTATCCATTTTGTACACTACCGCTTAAGGCTATTGGGGCATACTCATTGTCGAAATATGTAAAGTCGACTTTAATACTAGTTGCAGCTTTTTTGACAGATATTCTATTGAAACTTATGTCAAAAAACTGCCACTAACTTTAGAGCCGAATTTACTTTGCCTATGATTACACCCCATTGATTTCGGAGCCGAATTACACCAATTCACTTACCCTAGCACTTAGCAAATTAGCCATGCGTTTAAACCTAAGGGATGGTTGTTCAATGTCTGGTTATCACTACCACTACACTATCGACGATTTTGACATCATGCATGCAACATGTGATCGATAAAGCAGTCCTTATACTTAACCGGAGCTTCTACCTCCGATTTGTGCTAATCAGACATTGAACAACCGGCCCTAATAGATGTAACTACACTTAGAAAATGAAATGCAAAAATTAGAGCAAATTTCGCATTCACAATTGTCCAATTCACAGCAGTACATTAAATTAAAAGATCATAAGGATGGTAAAATCATCCGCATTGTAAAATGAGCAAAATTGTAAAATGTAGATTTTAAGCTTATACAGCGCTTTTGCTGCATTTAAAATGCAACATTTAGCACTTTCGAACATATGTTTTCGAAGAGCGTTCATGCTATAGCATTTAGCAAATGTACATTTACGCGAGTTCGAAATCATATGCTATTGACAAACAGCCGTGTTCCAGTCTCTTATTTAGATCCGTGTATATTACGATCAATTCTCACGCAGAAGATAATGTGCAAAAACCCTATTGAAAAGGAAAAAATAAATTTTAAACCAAAAATTAAATACAAAAACTTGAATTGTTTTAACCATAACCGAGCATTTGTTTATATATATATTCATTTGTCGGTGCTGTCAATTAAAATTTCTTCACTTAATTAGGAAACAAAACAAACAGAGTTGATCATAAATTGATCCTGATTTCTATCAGCATCACATCGATGTTGAATTTGCTTAACTTTTCTTTATCCAAATATGTAATGTAATCTCGATTGACGATCACTGAAACGCAGCTAGCAACTGTATACTCGAAAAAGCAATGTTGCCATTTTTTATCTTTAAACCATGTTCGAATCGTGGAAACTTTGGAAGATCACAGGGTTGCTTTTAGCATTTAGATTCTTAATGCAAAAATGGAATTGCATTTAGGTGACGAATTTTGTATGGATAAATGTACATTTAGAGTAGCATTTAGAGTTAAATGCTCTAAATGTGCTTTTACGCATAAGCAAAAACAGGCCATTACGGTGCTTGATGTGGTAGAAATGCAATTTAGCAAGAGGTATCGATTTTTACAGATTTGGTAGTCTGCACACTGGTATAAACCCATTGTGCATACATACAAGTGACAAATGTTCTTCTTCTGCCTGGAAACCGCATGAAAACAATCTGGAAAGTGCCTGTCAAAATGTATAAATATCCTGCCAAAATGTTAGACAGGGTGTTTAAAGTGATGCAAATAAGGCAAAAGTTATTAAACAAAGTAAAACAATTGCCAAAATATGCATTAAATTAAATGAATTGATGCATTTATATGCCATTTTAGTATTTTAAAGCGTATGGTCAATAACTCTCACACTCAACAGAACTTTTTTGCTGTTTTTACAGCTGTGATCACCTGATTTTATTTGCTACAGGGTTACTCAATATCTATAAAAAAAAACTTTAAACAGACTCTGACAAAAACAGCAAAAACTGGGTTTCACCAGTTTACCCTAGGCGAATTTATACAAGGTGCTGTTGACAACACAGAACCAAAAATTACAACAACGAAGTATACGCCCATTAACAAGCAATATAAAGCAGAATTACCACAAACACTTAATTTTGACAAAAAGTACCAATTCGCCGTGAAATCAGTGGATCCGACAACACCATGTTGCAATAATACAAGGTGTTATCGGTTGGCACGATTGAGAGAAATAGAGATTGCGCCAATCGCGGTACCGCTAATCCGCTCTTTGTGATTTTGACAGAATCAGCTGTGTGCGGTACGTCATCTTGGTGCAATTGTTGATTGTGAGCATACGAAAAAACCAAATAACAATTTTAATATTCGTGCGTTAATATTTCTGCGTGGATTTAAACAATTATTGAGACA